GTAATCTCCAGATAAACTCACCGGATTACCCCTCGACATCTTGTTTTGAAAAATACGCCTGCGCTCGCTCGCCTATCGCGCTCGCTGTACTACGTTGCTCGCCCTCGTGCTGCACTCTGCGCCACGACTGTCGCTTACGCTGAACCAACCGATAGGTCTGTCGCTTTATTTCAAACAGATGTGCTCGAAACGGGGACTCGCCGGCTCTCCGACTCTCCGACTTCCCGACTCCCCGACTTCCCGACTCGCTCACTGCTCCGCTGCTGCTTCAGTTCCAAAATGAATGTTCAATTGGAAAAGTTACAAACACTAGCTGAAAACAGAGACTGCGTTACTAGATGCGTGGCCAGCAACTCCGCTACCGACTATTCAGTTTTTGCCTCAACGAGTTCAAGCGCCTCGTCAAAATTATTAATCCACACCGTCCTCCCACAAGTGGTTCTATTGCCATTCCGTATGCGTGACGCCGCGCAGTCCTAATTTGTTTCTATGCTTTGCTGCTGGCTTAAGCCGCTTATTTTCCGAAAATTTCCATTATTTTAATGCTCCAACTGCGCATTCAAAGAACCTAAGCAGAATTCCTTACTCTGGCTCGAAATCTCAGAGTATACGATATAAAGCAGCGCATATTCCGGCCGTTGAGTCAGTTTAGCGGCATTTTTGTAGTGACTTGAGAAAAGAGTGACAGTGCTGCCGAGTAACAGTTGCAGAGACATGCGCGTACCCTGTAATAGTAGCAGGATTGCATGTCCAGGGTCAGTCGTCGGCACGCCAAATCTCTTAAGAATCTGCTTGACAAGCGTGCGGCTTAGCACTTTCATTCTGCGCCTGACGCGGCTCGGCGTGGCGTTCTGTGTATTATACGTACGAGTATCCTTGCCGGCACCAGCGCGAGGCGCCGTCAAGGCCGCGACGGGACACGCGCACGGCCGCGCCGTGTGAGAAACGGGACCCGCGCCAGAGAAGAGGAGGATGGCTCGAGCGACCGGTTTCACTCGCGATGCACACCTAGCAATCAGTCTGCCAGTCCGCTTGTAATTCTAAGCACGCTGCCGCCCCTGCTTCGTATCGGCAGCCGGCCCAATATCCTCCGACGCGCTGCTTTCGCCGATCGCTCATTCGATAACCATTGCTCGCCAATCCACGGGGACGCGCACACGTACAAGCTACGGCAGCTTCGTCGTCGCGCTGCAATTCTTTCTGGCCGTTCTGTCTTGCGCGGCAGACGGTTTATCCGCGGAACGCGAGCGCCATTTTACTGCGCACAATCAATTTATTCTTTTAGTTTACCCAATTTTCACCGCTCAACGCGCGAACCTCTGCGATCGCTAATTACGTGCACGTTATACATTGGTGCACGTTATGCAAAACGACATGTTACGATTGCCGATGCGTACTACATTTAGTTGTAAAAATACTCCTAAAAACCTATTATTTCTGTACTTTGTGCAGAACGTTTCTCAAAGTCGTTGTCGTTGATTAACACATCTCGAGCTTCTTCATAACCACTTTTGGATGACCGTGACCCAAGAATTCAAAGTGTTCCTTCAGAGCGATTCTCATGAGAATCTAAGCAGGTTAATACTCCACAATTGGCTTTTCATTCGAAATGATCAAGGTTCGCTCTGTTGAAATGTCGCACAAACTGCCTCTTTTCCATCCAAAACATCCTTGGATATATCTTATTAAAACATAAATATGACTCTTTCATTATGATTATAATGTACGGTGTGCGTGTGATTTATTTTTCTTTTTTTTACATCCTGCGTGTTAGGTAATCCAAGGTACGTAACCAGTCAAATTTTTATTCGTGGAAAAAAATTTTGTTTTTTAAACCATATATTTGCCCGTTAACACATATCATACCATACGTATAAATACATATATCATAACATATAGGTTTTGATGATTGTTAAGACATATCATATTACTACATATATTGGGTTACGCACATAATATATAGTATCAGTTAACGTTGAAAATTGGTCATTTATAATCGTTGTGAAAAAATTTTATAAAATCTTCCTTGATGTTCGGATTAGTATCGAGCATCTTAATATTTGACGTTAATTCATTTTCACCGTTGATGAAAAAAACGGATGGCAATATGCAATAACCGCAATTGAGTCGACCACTTGCCAATAATTTAAGTGATTTTAATACAAATTTATTCAGCGCTTTATCCAATACCTAACATTTTCATACTAGCCAATCACTCACATTTTAAGTTGTTCAATGCTTCTGTTAATTACCACCTCGGTTCATCTTCATTCACTTAATGAAAAAGCTCACTTCGAAAATGAATTGCATTGAAAAGAAGTAATGATCATAGTTAGCTTTCAAAATCGATAAAGCGATGTCTTTGAGTTTTTCAAATATTATAGTGGAGAAATGCAATATTTCAACTAAGTATATAGGACCTTTGGAAAGTTCAGAAGTCGAGAGAACAATGGCGGTATATCAGACGTGCGGCTAGTCTTAGTTTAGTATTCTGTTTACTTGCGTTCATTATGAATAGAATTTTCAAGGAAATTACAGCAGCCAGCAAGCCACACCAGAATAAGTTTGAGCTCCATAAAGCAGAACAACGCGAGGAAAGAAATCTTTTTATTTTCATTCGCTTCAGCTATGCAGATTCATCACCCCCCCCCCTCTCTCTATCTATGAATGAATTTTCATAGCAAAGCTTGGGCAGCGGTGGTGGCGTCTGCGACGACTGCAGTGCCCGACGACATACATTCTCAAATATGCAAACACAACCATCGCTCAATTTACAGTTGAAAAATGGTAATACGCTCTCGTCAGCGGAAATGCTGGCGGGTGGCAGTATACGGGGAGAAATAGGTAAAAAGCGCCCATGCGCGCGTGCGAACATAAAGGCTAGCAACAGCAAGAGCGAGCAAAACGCTGGGAAAAAAAAACGAGCAGTAAAATGGGAGGTAAAGGTAAAAGTAAAATAAAAAAAGAGAGGCAAAGGCATAGGAGTGAGATGAGCGTAGTGAGACACGAGGGAGGACGAACTGGGTACGTATGTAAATGCAGCAGATTTATGGACTACGGGATTCGATGTCGCGGCCCCTCTCGAATTGATTTTGTCGCGCACGCGAGCGAGTATAGGGCATCTCTCGGTCTACGTAGTAAGGCTCTCCCGACTACACGGATGATTTATTTTATGCCTTGACGCGAGATGAGCTCGCCTTCTCTGTCGCTTTCTTTCTGGCGCTCGCGCGCGCAGCTTGTGCGCGCATCGCACGACAAGTGAACGCGCTGGCAGTATAAATCTGCATGTTGCCTTTGCTGATTAGGTGCGAACATCGGAAAGAGCAGCGACAAGTCCCTCTGTTTCTCGGATACGTTGCACCCTCTAGCTCTTCATCAACTTTTATTCCATTCTCTTTTAACTGTGTCGCAGCCGTTATGGTCGCAGCGAGCAGAGACAACGGCTGTTTCCCTGGCAAATTTATGCCCTCGCGCATTATGCAACAAAGTCACCGTTAGATAGTCTGCCTGCCTGCGCGCGATCTTTCATTTGAAATGATATTGTAGCTACCTGTGGCACGCGGCGTCGCGCGCGCTCATCGCGCTCGAAACACGCTCTCTAAGTAGGTATCATATCAAAAGTGCATGCAAACGTGCAGAATGGCTTACAATTACATGGATTTGCTTTATCTAATCAACAGAAACTTTAACAAGCACAATGTCTCTCTCGACGTAATGTTTATCTTATCAAACGCCAGCTGCAACGCGACTTTCTTGTTTGGCTGGCTGTATCACTGCAGTATACTTTTGACTTTTACAACAAAAGCTCATTTTATCGGAATGCAACATGCGTCGAGTTCTTTTGTTGTTGTCAACGTCTGACGACGGTAAAACTATCCGTGTATCAACGAATTTTTTGACGTGGCACGGAACGATGCACCTCGTGCCGTGAATGGCAAAGGAAATTATTGGGTAAACAGTTTCAACGTAAAACTTTATATAATCTGACGACACACAATGGCTTGGAGAACGTGAACAGAATGATCGAGCAGTTGATTTCTTCGAGCGGCGGCAGCCCGAGCGCGGGAGCTTCGCTTATTTTCGTTAACGCGCTAAAAACTGAGTCACGTTCGTGCTACAGCTTTCGCAAGGAGTCCACTTCCGCGGAGACGAACGCAAGGTAAAAGCGTGGCGAGTTCTAATCAGCGAGCGACCTTTAGGCAGAAGATTGCGCCGCTGAAGTATCCGAACAGCTCGCATCGGGCAGAATGCAAGTGAAAATAAAAAGAACAAAGAGCGAAGTGGAGCGCTCGAGCGGCGCGTCTGGCTAAAATGATTCACGGAGAATTGCTGCAGGTGGCACGCGCGCTCGCAGTCTGGCGCGGTGTGGGCGAATCTTTTGACGCGGTGCAGCGTGCAGCACGCATACAAATGCTTTGAGGAAAACCGAGGGCGCTCGGGAGAAGGAAGAAAAAAAAAATAGAAGAAAACCGGAGCAACAACTTTTCAATGCGAACGCAGGAGGGAAAAGAGCAGCAGTTAATTTCCGCGTAACTCTTCCTAGCAGGGAAACTGTGTTCTATCTGGTGAAAGAAAAAAAGCGCCAGAAAAGGCGCGGAGAGGGAAAGAGAGAAGGAAAAGGAAGAGGAAGGCTAAGAAAGCGCGGCCCAAAGAAGAAACGAAAAACTCGTTAGTTCACGGAGGCACATACAGCAGTCAGAGTCTCCGCTGGGGCCACGGGAAACAATGTAACGCTTTGAGCGCCGACGTGCAGCACGTACGTAAAGTCGCGTCCGTACGACGCCGGGTCGGGGTGGGGGGGGGGGGGGGGGGGCAGATGAAGTCGAGGGCCGGGCCTATATGATCTGCCGCCAGGCGACCTGACACACACGTACCGGCCGAAGACCTCGAGGAAGCCACGATAAGTTGAGAGCCGGCTGCAACGAAAGTTGGAGGCAGGCGCGCGTGCCCACCGACACACCGATTTTCCGGCCGAGGCTCGGGCGCTCTCGCTCGCTCGCTCGCTCGCGCCGCCGTGCGCGCGCGCGCCGGAGCTCCGCAGCCGATTTCGCGGCACGCTGCCGTCAGTCCGGCACTCGCAGCCGGTCCGCACGCGCGCGCGCTCCGCTCGCTCACTTTCGAAGAAAGGGCCGCCTCGCGAGTGTCTCTCACCGCTCGCATTGTCCCCGTCGCCTTCGCCTCGCTCTTTCTCATCGCTATTGACCGAAGCTCTCTTCGTGGAGAGAGAAAAAGAGAGAGAGAGAGAGAGTGAGAGAGAGAGAGAGAGAGAGCGCGAGAGAGTGAGAGAACGAACATGCTGTCCTCGGTCTGAGAGCCCAGGTGACACCTGGTGGCTGTGATTTGGCAGTTCCTCGGAGCAAAGTCATGTGACGCTCGCACTTCTAACTTTCATCAGGTGAGCAGACTATAGAATTTCTTTTATATTTGCGTTTACACTTAAAAGAATAAGCACAGCTGCCGCCAAGTTCGCGAGCAAAGAACTCGATATGTAAAGCTTACGAGTATATCTCACAGACGATCATTACGCAACTATCCGAAAAATCGAAATTCTAAGTAAATTTTTTTAACGCGTTTCTACGGCGACCTTTTTTACTCGATACTGATTGATGCGCTAGTAGCTATGTCGACAGATATCGATTTTCGTCTACGTGTTTGTGAAATATCTACCTTGACATACGCGAATATCAATTTTGTTTGCATCGGCAATGTACGTACAAACGCTTTGCTCTTTTCATGACGGATAGACTTACTCCAACGCGTTGACACGTGTGCGCTAGATGCGCACTCTTGTAATATTGTTACAAATGGAATGTGGTAAGGCGCGCGGTTAAGCGTGATACGTCTCGATGTTACTTGCGATGGAAAAATACGATAAGATACTATTATTTGGCGATAGCGTATCGTGACGACTTGGAGTCGAAAATTTGAAAGAGAGAAGGAGAGCAAGGGTATGAATGATGGCACTGACGTTAATAAGAAGCTCGCGATGTGCTCGATTCGACTGCAAACTGACTGCAGGAACGCCAAATAATAGGCGTTTGAAATAACTGGCAAAGTCTGCTGATGATCGCGGAAAGAAACAGGCACGTCAGTCGATCTGGCAACACGCGGCCGAGATGAAAAAAGCGGAGGTCGGAGGCGCACGCTGCGAGAGCGCAATGAATGCAGCGTGAGAATTGGACGACAGACTTGTCGAGGCGATTACTCGTATCCGGGCGATTAAGTCGAAAAAGCCGCGAATGATTTGCGTGCGCCGCGATGCGTAATGTGCTTAGAGGGCGGGCGCAAGAAAAGACAATAGTTAAGCGTAATGGCTGCAGCATGAGCTAAGACTCCTCGAGAGCTGGCGAGAAAGAGAGAGAGAGAGAGAGAGAGGGCGAGCAACACGTGAGCGAGCGGAAGCTGTGTGTGCATGACAAATGCGCACCTGCGCTCGCCATTAATTTCGTTTCTCGCGCGCGCGCTTTTCTCGCCCTTGCCAAGCAGCGCAGGCACAGCCAGCACGGATAGCACGAGAAGAGAAAAAGGAGAGATACGGACGAAGAAGAATCGTCGTTGCGCGAGCGGCTGTATGGGCACGTGCTTCTGAGAGCGAGCGGAGAGCAGCAGCTGGCCAGCAGTGGCGCACTGCCATAGAGCAAAGCGTCCTTGATACTCCAGTAATGACCTTAAATGCACTCGCCTGCCCAGGAGCGCGTCTTGCCAAAGCGCGCTCGCCGCATTTTCTCCTTCGATCTGACAGTCGCCGTCGTAGCTAGCTCTTGAAAATCTTATTGCCTTTTTCTCGCTTCTTTCTTCGTCGCTCGTTCCCTCTGCCGTCTGCGACGCACTTCCTCTTCCTGTTTGGGCACTCGCTCGTCTTCCTTCCTTCCTTCCTTCCTTCCTCCCTTCTTCCTTTGCTGCGCCGGATTGCGGATTTTCCCGGCCGCCTCTCCGCCTGCAGCCTGTTTACCCGAAGTTGCTCGCGCGCGCGCGCAAGGGAGCGAGAAAGAGGCAGCGCGGCTATTCCGCGCGAAACCTGCGGGAAAGCAGCTACGGTCGCCTGTGCCAAAAGGAGAAACAGAAAAACGAAAAACTGAAATAGCATTTTGAAAAATTATCACCGAGACGCTCGTTGGGCAATCCCTTCGCGAAATTTCAGCATCGATTTTTTTCCCTATGGACACATAATGCCACGCAAGGCATTACCACTCGAGCGCGCGGCGGCGTTTGAATATAACCAATATAGAAATTGGCGCTCGCGGCTGTGACTCAATCGCGCGAGTCATTAGACGATTCGTCGAGCGTCGGGTAAGAAAGAGAACGTCGAGGTGAAAGAAACGCGCATTTTCGGCGTAAAACATGGTGACGCTTTGGCTTTCGAATCGAATAATCGCGAAAAGCGGGTCGAGCTGGTGCTGTACGCACACGGAGTGCCGGTGCCACGCTTAACGAAAGAGTTGGGCGAGCGCGGTGTGTTGCTTATGCTGCAGGCCGAGTAGCTACGACTATACGCGCTGTTATAGATGCATGAACGTTGCGACCGCAGGTAGCTGCGGTCGAACTGTCAACACTGAACGCAGCGCATGTTATTTCGGTCGAGTTGTCGGAAAGTGAGGGAAAAGAGGGAGGGCGAAACGGCACCGTTTTCGCAGCGCTGAAAAATTTGCAAACGTTGCAATCTGACAGCGCCCGCGTGCTGAACAACTTGGCTGCGCACATGCGAGCGAAGCGCAACAATGATTGAGATGCGAATAATGTTTTGCGAATGGCTTCGAATTGTCTCGCTGTGGCTTTTTCAATTTTCTTTCTTTATCGCTCTCTCGTCTCGTTCAATCAGTACATAACGACGGCTATATTTCACGACATTTTCCTTAATATAATCGATACCACGCCGGCAAGTTTCTGCCCTGCGCGCGCGCGTATCCGTGAATTTCCTTAGCCTAACTTTTTATACAATCTTCAAGTTTTATCATAATGAAACCGAGCCAATAGATTTCATAAAGTCTCTCTACCCGTCGTAAGTCGATCAGAAGATGTTTCGTGCACACGCAGCGTAGTGTTGTGTGCCAGATCTTATGTAGGCCAACACTTTGCTCATGCTCGGTAACTTGAACAGGCAAAAAATCGAAAATTTTGACTAGAATGGAGAATCATGTATCGCGCGTGCTATATACTTTTCTTGCTCGTACGTGGAAAAGAAAATAATGTAGCAGGAGTGAAGAAAGACTTTTGAAAGCATCCATCACATATTTACACGAATGTTAAAATGAAATAAAAGGCCGAGTTTGCTTTTTCAGCTATAAAAACTTCGACGGATACTATTTCTAATATAAGAAATAATGCACTTCAGATTTTTATACGACATATTTGCATAAAACAGTGCAGGCAATAACGATAAATCAACTACATACTTGAACTGCGATTATTACAATTATCTGATTAATGTATGTGTGTTGTCCTATAGTCATTAAATAATTGATCACCGAACGAGAATCAGATCGTGAGTAACAATGTCGGAAAATACTTTTGATTGTTCGGTATTTTTCTTTCTTTTTTTTTCTTTTTGAGTTAACAGTGAATCCCACCCCGAACGTAGAGTGTACACATAATATTCAATTTTATTCATACTTAACAGCCAGTGCATTCTGAATTTATAGCTTGGAAGTGCAGAAAGCGACTTAAAATTCATTCTAATTGTTAATTAAACTTTTTTCAAACCGCCCAGAATCCGATTAATAAATGAATAAATTCATTTGTTTTTCTTCTATGCAATTCTTTTATCCATCTCAAACTGCATTCTTCTTTAATGAAACGATTATTAATTATGTTAATTGTATTATTTGTCAAAAAAAGTGAGATATAACAATTTTGAACAATATTGTAATAATCATGAAGGATATACTACATTAAGCACAGAAAGTCGGAGCTGACAGATGTCAGTTGTAAAAGCTTGCAGCTGACTGCAGCCTCCCAGAAGTCGCACGTTTCGTGTTGTTAAATAACAAGGGAGGCGTGAATTATTTAGCAAGAGTAATGGAGCTGCGGTTCTACGCAGCTCCATTTTATGACCTGATAGTTCTAGCTGATACATTATCACGTTTATCAAATCTAGTCTGTACGTAACATTGCATCTATAGTGAGTTTCCGTTAGAAAACAGCTAAATTGATTTTATTCGACAAATTCCATTGAATTATTGTAAAACTAGCTATTGCGATCTAATGAAACAATTAAATTCGTATAACCTGCTACTTTAAGCGCGAATAATATGCGAATGAATTGAATTTTCCGAAATACTGTACGCAAATATAAAGTTAAACTATGCTACTCTATCACAATTAGTGTGAACGTAGAGTATTTCTAGTGAAATGGTAGCTGAATTTTGTAATTTTGGTCATTTTTGAGATATGCCATTAATTCCAAAACAAAAGATGGTTTGGTTTAATTTAAGTATCCATCGTAATATTTTTTCATACAAAATATTATTGTCATTACAAAGAGTTCGACAAAGTCATTAATTATTAGTATTCAAATATTTGCTTTTTTATCGGTCTCACAATCAGTGGAAATCTTTACTCTAGAATTACTGACTACTTTAAGCTATGGAACCGTGATCTACAAAAGAAAATGTCAAAATTACAGACGTGAAACCACAAAGCAATATGAAACTTGCTCGAGAGCTTATGCGGTTACAGACTTTGGTCAGAACATAATGCAAGAAATGTGACGAGGCCAAAAACCAGCTCTTAAAGATTATGCAATCAAACGATACTCTGCATTATTAAGCGCCACATAATTTGAAAATTTAATTCATTCCGTTTGATCTGTAAATTATCCGAGATATAAGTTCAAATGAAAAAGTATTATCCGTTAGCTATGAAAATAAGCGTAGAAGTTAATTAAATACTCGACTGTAAATGAAGCCAAACAATAGAGGCATCGGTTGATTAAAGTTTGTAAAAATAACTGGAAGAAAATCAAGACAATAAGTAAAGAGGAGCGTTGGAAAAAGAAATGGCGAGCGTAATAGAAAATAAATTGAGTGGAAAACAACAGGAGTAACGGAGGGAGAAGGAAGGAGTTTGCGAAGCGTGACAAATGGGGAGTCGCGTTTATGCAGGGCACTAAGTATCGTAATGTCGCTATAATCACAATGCGAGAGACCAATTTTTCGCGAATAATTTATGCGACGGTATTGTGCAAAACGAGGGGGTGGGGGTATCGTACGTCATGGCTAGCCGTGCATCGGCGAATTGTCGACAAGAGGTCTCAAACGGATATTGATAGACTATGGAAAACTTATTGGACCCACGTTACTCGTTCGCGACATATTAATGTCGACTGCTAAAAATAACCATTCAATGTGATCCAATTAGCAGTTTGTTCCAATATACTTTTGTGTACATTTGCCGATC